TACTAAGGTTATATATCCTATTGTCGTCTTCAGAATAAGAAAAAGAATAAAGATATAGAATGAGAACTGGCGTTAAATGTTCGACGTCATCACATTCTGAACCACCACATCGTTATCATAATTTACTATATATTCCATGTGGATCTGGATATAGTGCATCGTCAGGTACATCGGCATCATCATCAACAAATCTTACCCCTGTTGAATATATAATATATCCTATTGGTTTACGTAAGGTATTATTCAATAAACAAAATTTTAATTTTAATTTCAAAAAAAATAAATAATTCAAAAATCGAATATTTAATATTTGTTTTTCTTTAGGGTCAAGTTCGTAAATTAGAGGATGAGTATCAAAAATTTATTCATATTTATCAAGAAATAATAATACGTTTGGAAAAATTAGAAACATTATTATCCGATGCTGAACGTATTGTTGATTTTACTCGAATATCGGTAAGTAAAATAAGATTTTTTAACAACTAGTTTTATTTTATTTTTTTTCTAGCAAGTTCAAGATGAATTACGAAGTGTTCGAACTCAACTTGATGATTTACTTAATCTTGGTCAAGAACTTGTATCAAAAAGTGAAAAATATAGCAAACTTGTTGCACCTGATATTGAAAATATTACACGAAAATTTGAAGATTTACAACGTCGTATACGTACTATTCAGGTTGGTTGATTTATTTCTATCTGCACAGATTCTATCCACACTTAGATTAGTATGATTTCGGTGATAAGAGATAATTTTTATAGTTTAATAGAACAAAAAAAAGATCACATTCACTATATTCTTCACAAAAAAAACATAATTCTTTCAGGAATCACAGGAAAAACGTTCAAAAGAACAACATCATTATCAGCAACAACAACAACAACAACAACAACAACAATTTACAACAACATCAACAACAGCAAATACTATTCAAGATGATCATCGTGATGATACGCGTCGTGAATATTATTCCGAAAGAAAATATAATCGTGTACAACGTGAATCACGTCATCGATCACCATCGGAATCGTCGGATATAAGTACAGCACATGGTGTTATTGATGAAGAATTTAAAAAGAAATATTTACGTTGTTTGGCTTATATGAAATTAATTGAACGTTTATATGAAAATCAACAAGAAAGTGATGAAGATTCGGAAACAATGCATCGAAGATTATCTAGACGAGTATGAAATATTCTTTGCTTGTAGAAATTTGCATGCTATGTAGTTTTACTAGAGAAAAAGAATTTTGTTTTGATAAATAACAAAACTAATTCAGTTTTTTTTGTTTCGTCTAGGATCGAACATTTCGTGATCGTCCAGAATATGAAGAAATTGAAAAAATTATACGTGAAACAGAAGAACGTGCTTATGTTATTGAAAAAACGGATGTTGATCAAGCTAATCGTATAAGAGAAAAAATTCGTCGATTAAGAGTATGAAAATTCCATTGAAAATTTCCAAAAATATTTATTTATTTATTTAGGATTGTTTGGAAAATCTTAAATATCGTTCCACTCAATATCAAAACAATAATGATGAACAAATTACTCGATATAATGAACGATATGAAGAACATGTTAAAACAACAGATAGAACAGTACCAAAAGAACGGGTATGAAAACATAGAATTTACAGATATATACATGAAGGTTGTTTTTTTAACCTTTAAAAATATTCTATAGATATTTCATTTATAGTTAATATCTTTTTATAGCATTTCTAAGTCTATTTTCAATGTAATAGTATATAGTTCTTATAAATACATACGAGTATATATTATACTTGTCATCAAACAGAGATATCGTATTAATTGTAATTGTTTATACTGAGATTATCTGATATGATTAGGAAATTTTCGTTTTCTTATCAACACTACTAACCATTTTATATATATCGTTTTCCGGCAGAAAAGTATATGTCCTATATTCGAGATAATATATCATATTGTAACAAAAAAAAAAAAAGAAAAGGTCTAGACAGGAATTGAGATGACATTCGGTTTGACTATACAAGGTCTTGGATTGCTTATTAAAATATGATAGTTGATTTTACTAACCATATGTATAGACTTAGAAAATGTCAAAGATTACTAGCTCACTTTTGATGTGATATTTTATCCATATATGCCCTTAAGAAGTTGTTGTGAAAGTTAATCTGGATTTCTTAAAGTAAGCTATGTAATCCAAGTGAAGGTTTTTTTTTACTTAGTTCCAATGAATATAGATTTATTGTTGTCTTTTTCTTTTTTTTCAATGTAGGAATTCGATTCCGATTTTATTTATGATATTGATGATACACGTTCAGTTATAAGTGAACCAGCACCACAATTTAATGCAAAATATCGTAAAACAATTCATTCACTTGAACGTTATAAAACTGATGAACAATCTCGTTGTGTTCCAACAGTTGAAGAATATCATTTACAACCATTATTACGTGTACGAAGTTTAAAAGCTATTGATCATCGTACATTAAGTGCACCATCATCACCTGTTTTACCACCACGTTATCGTTCTCATGAACGTGCAAATGTTCAATATAAAAAACAATCAATGAATCAACAAGGATATCAAGATAATTATCAAAGTTCAATATCAAAATCAGCTAGTTTACCCAATGGTGGTTTTCCTGTACAAGTACCAATAGTACCAGCTCATATTCCTCAACAACCAGTAATGTATCGTGAACGAGTTATTGATCGACATGTAGCTGAACGAAGTACATCACGTGCTGATTCTCATCGACAACAACAACAACAAGAAAGTGCTAGTATGCAAGCACGTTCATCGACTATAAGTGGACAAAGCCAAACACTTAATCGAGCAATACCTATTCGTTATGAAGCATCAAATGTTGTTGTTAATGGTAGTAGTGGCGGTGGTGGTGGGGGTAGTCATAGTGCATCATCTAGTTATCGACAAACAAATGGTCATAGACAGGAACAATATCCACCATATTTTTATAATGAACAATATCCAGGAGCGGGTGGTGCTGGTGGTAGTTATCGTCAACAAGCTTATGCAACTCAACATATTGGACCACATCCTACACGAATTGTTAATTAACGAAGAGCGAGAGAGAGAGAGAGAGTTAATCTTATCTATATATATTCTACTAGTAGAAAGAAAAATATGTTTGCTGTGTGTATACATGCGTTCTTTTCTTTTCTTTTTTCTTCTTTCGTTTTTTTTTTCTTTTTTCTTTCGACTAATTTTAAAATGTCGGTGCCAGTGCGCAGTGGTTCTTTTTATCAAATATTAACAAAAAAATACAAAAATCTATTCTCTCATTTGTTCAAAACTTTTTACTAGTACAATACACTTTTTTTTTCTCATTCTCTTCAATAAAATATATAAGTATTTACTATAAGAAAAATATTAATCAAATCAATACATGTATCATCAAAAATAATTAATTATCTTTTATCATACAGATATTAAATAGACTATCGTATGTTATTTCATGCTACTAAAATAGAGGTGTCAATTAGACTTCGGACAAGTATTTTATCTAGTGTCGGGATTGTCATCAAAAGCAAAACATGCAAATCTATCATTACATTGTCTGATTTACTTTCATTTTTCTTCTGTTTATACAACAAATCTAAGTGATGAAGAAAACAAAACATACTGTCTGATTTTTACTTCTTATGTCCAAAACTTATTACTGTCTGTCTCGACTCTATATAAATATTTATTCAATCCTGCTAATATATAAAACAAACTGACTTGCAGCAAGGTGATAAATTAGTTAATCAATTCAAAGTAAGCTATGTACAATAGAATAAAAACAAGAAATCTATTCTTAACTTTAACAATTATCATATATATATGATAGAATGAAATATAATACTTGATCATTAATTATTTTCTTTTTTGTTACGAGATAGAAACTATAAGTTTTATCTTAGGAAAGAATAGTCACGTAATGACCAAAAAATAAATATAAGATTTTTATTCGATCAATTAGCTGGAATTTCCTTATTAGAACAAGAAAAAAATCCTTTCTCGGATATATTGAAGGTCAAAACAATATTTTGATTATGTTAATTAAAATATCGAACAAATTAGTTCATGCTAAAAATCTCTACTAATACGCCATATAATCTAACGATTATGTATGTCGTGATAGTTCATAACTCTTCTATCTACTTTGTTATGGTTGATTACACTCTATATGCATGCGTATTTCTAGTCAAAATATATTAGCTTATGGTATGTTCATATTTCTATTAGAAAACATCTTCATTCTTTTCTTTAACCCTAAGGGTAAGAATAAATGATGATGAAGAAAGAAGCATAATAAAAAAGATGAGAGAAATCGTTCATATAGAATCATATTAGTTTTTATACTTATTAGTATTTTATGGGTTATGAAGAGAAAAAAAAAGCCATCATTAGCTTTATATCACTCATCAAGACAGTAACTCAATAGGATTATACATCAACAATTATTTGTTTGATTAACTTTAATAATCAATCAAGAAACGAAAAATATTATTCGTTCTTAAAGTATGTTTATTAAAGTATTTAATTCATTTTGTTTTTGATCATATCAAGCCATTTTACGATACATAGCAAGAATGCTACGAACTATTATATAGATAAGTGCAAAAATAAAGAAACGTGAAACTAATACATTTGTTACATATTTTGTATCTCTTACAAACATTCTTAATTCGATCTACTACTTTCTCTTAGTAAGTGTGCTGCTTTTGGTTTATAGTTCATATCAGAAAGTAATACGAACAGATTTTCTCATCATGTCGGTGAAGTTAGCATTGTATTCGAAAATTATAATTTGAGCTATACGGAATATGTGCATACTAGTACGTAGAGCCAGTTCTAGACAAATATGGTGCTAATTTCACCTACGTAATAAAAAAATGAAATGAAAAATGTTTTTACTATCAAAATTCAACACCGTCGTTTCACATAATCTGATATTGTGTTAATAAAGAATGACAACTGTCAGGATTTATTTATTGAGAACAAAAAATATATTTGTACCGTATTAGATAAGAGTGACAGTTCAGAAGATTTATCTTTCATACATAATTTTTTTCAAACAAAAATTTTCCACGAAAGGTAAAATACAAGTATATACATATTTTTTCTATCCTACAATATTATACTGTTAATAAAGATTGCTTTTGTGATATCCAAAAAGAGAAAAATAGATCCGGTAATCTATTCGAATTTACTTATCTTGCTATCATTTGTTTCACTGGATATCTAAACAGAACAACAGATCATTCATCAATATAGATTTTGCTATACACTTATTAATCATAACATCAACAATAGAAAGCTTTTATCAAACTATATCTTTATTTTTTCAGTTTTATCAACCAATATTCAATTCATCAATGATTTGCGATATACCCGATAAACAAACAGAAAAGCTAATCAATGAAACTATTGATATGGAAAATCAATGGCAATTACTTATTGAAGGATTAAATACACTAAAAGAAAGGTTATTTGAATTTTCTGAAGATAAATTTTATTTTTGTATTTTAGACACTTATCAACTGATTCAATGAATTCATCATATTTCAATCAATATGAAGATCTAACTAAAGATATTGAATATTGTTTAATATCAGCTAGACAATTGATCAATGAACAGGAACAAATCAATATAAATAATTTATCTGATAATGATCAACTTCTCTCTAAAATAAAAGTTTGTTTAAATAAAAAATGAGAAAAATTTTTCTTAAATTTTTTATTCTCATAGAAATGTGAAGAAGAATTAAATAATTTTAAAAATACTATTGATAGTCTGACAACTGATGCAATCTGTCATTCATTAATTCATGAACTAGCTAAAGTGCGTGTAACTTTCATTTCTTTCATAAAAAAAAAATCTAGATTATATATTCATAGGTTAGTACATCTATTATAACAATGCGTATGCAATTAGAGAATCGAATTGAACAACAATATAGTTTTATTAATGAATTAGAAACATTTGCAAATTGGTTAAAAAAATTTACGAAGGAATCGAAAACAATTGATGAACAAGTAAAACTCAAAAATTTTATTTGTATTATTATAATATTTATTTCAATAGACAATTCAATTATTTATAAGTCAACAACAAGAACATTTTAATGAATTAACAAAATTTAAACAAGAAAATGATGTAAACATCAATGAACAAATTCAAAATTTAATTCACATGTGGAATGATTTATTATCGATGAGTAAGTTTGATGATGTAAGACGATCCTTTTTATTCTTCATCTAGTCAAACACTCATCAATAATAATTTCATAAGCATATGTGTTTGATTAATTCACTTAGTCTAATCATCACCTCATTTATAGTGAAAAAAAAAGAAATCGAATAAGAAATCTCAAGATGATTTCTTTTTCTCCTCCTCCTCCTCCTCCTTTAGTAAACAGCTTTAATGTATGTCTTCTATATTGTAGTTAATCCGTCTCGTTTTTTATCGATGCCTTGTTTCATTCAAACTATTGATGGTTACTAATAATAATCATAGGAGAAAATTTATGACAAACACAAAGAGAGATAGAGAGACCAAACATACTACACAAGGGAAAAAAAGGGAGAAAGACAAAAGCCAACATGTAATTGAATTCTTTTCTAGTCCCGCCTTTTCATCATACTCTTCAATGCTTGTTCTTGTCTAGTACAGGAAGTTAAACACTAGTACTACACAACACATTCTTATTTCCATGTTTCTATTTTTAGTAAATTCTTTTAGCAAACACAATATAGGACATATACAAAGAAAAAATTGAGTAGTCTTTTGATAGAGAGTAATGTATGTTATGCATGATATAATATAATTCACCGAGTGAATAAAACAACAGCTTATCTTTCGATAAGGTTGTTATGATTAATCGAAACTGATATATTATCAATATACATATCATAAGCAATGCTTCGCCTGTCAACTAAATGTATATGACACCTATATATATACAGAGAACGATGTATTGTTAATGATGATCTCACCTTTTTTTCCTCTTTCATTTGTTGAGTGAACACCTGATTTGAAGTTCCTTTTCTTTTCTTCTTCTCTTCATCGTTACATAGTTAGTTGTTCACCTTTCTTACACTTCGCCTCCGTCATAATTTGTAGAAATAGTGAAGTAGTAGTCGTATTTTCTCTTTTTCTTTTCTTTGCTCATTTTTACATTCCCCCTTTTTTTCTTCTTCTTCTTCTTCTTTTGTTATAGCCACTAATTCACAGAATATAGTGACTACACAATTATCATCAACATGTGTAAATGAACATCAACATAATATAGTTGAACAAGCCCAAAAACTATTATCTACTAATATACAATTAGGCAATCGTCGAGAAATTGAACAACTTAAAAATAAAATTACAGTATAATATAACAAATGTTCTTTTTTTTTGTTCATTTCCTTCTTTTTTTTTGTTAATAGTCGTTTGTAATATATTGTAAAGATTTGCAAGTATCTAATTTGAACGAAATTCTTCTATCTGACATAAGTAACTATAAATATTTATATTCATTTTCATCTATTATTCTTTATTTGCCTAGCATATAATGAGCTTGCCAATAGGCAATTGATACTACAACAAATGTTAATTGATACATCACATATTGATCATCTTCGTGTAAATTTTGTTGCACATTTCAATACGGAAAATAATGCTGTTATAGCTGCCAATGAAATTCTAACAATAATTGATAATTATCCAAAAGATATGACTACTCAAGTTCGTCAATGGTTAAATGAACAACAAAAAACTCGTATTACAGCACCATTAGCAACGAGTGATATAGCAAAAACTATCGATGAATATGAAGAATATTTAAAAGAATTAGAAGAAAATATTCTTCAATATGAACGAAGTGAAAATAGTCAAACAAAATTAAAAGTATTTTATTCATTTTTTTTGAAATAAAAGAAAGAAAAAAAAATTTTTTTCCTAGAATTTACTTCAACAGATTAAAAATCGACCGCATCTACCAGAAATTTCAAATATTAGTGATAAAAAACATATCGAATATTTACAAGAACATTTTCTTCAACTTAAAAAACAAATTGAAGATATACAAAAAAAAAATTTAACAATCAAAACAAATATCGATAATATTATTAATAATATAAATCTATTAATTACACGTATACGAGATATTGAAGAACAAATTCAGACTAATTCAAAACAACCTATTCATGATTATGAAAGACTTATTCTTGATTGCCAGGTGAGCGCTATTCATTTTTATCACAGTTGTGATAAAATATTACATAATACAATCAAATTTGAGTAATAATTAGGTCTATTATTTAATCGATGATTTCTTCTTTTTTAATCATATGATCTATATTGTACAAACCAATATTATTTAGAGATCTCATTGGTATATCCCTAAGGTGTATAGAGCGATGAGGAGAAGAAAAAAAGAAGAAGCACGACGTATTTTATTTCCGCCATTTTCTTACATTAGTAAACCTTCAAATGAACATGCATTGAATAGTTAAATTAAATTAATTAATACAATTTAAATTTACTATTCATGAATAAACAAAATCTTGTATTTAAGATGATATTTACCCTATAATCTTTTTCTTTGATCTCGACTTAAATGATTTTTCATCCTTTTTTTTGTTTTGTTTTTTCAAGCGTATTACATCTGAACTTAATCAACGTCGTCTACAAGTTGAACAAGCAATTAATAATGGAAAACGTTTATATGCACCAGATAATAAAGATAGCAGCGGTATTGATAGTGCTGGTATGTATAAAAAATAGAAGAAAGATGTCGTGCTTCACTATTGTATATCATTTGCTATTGGAATCAACCATTTATATAGCGTATACTCGTGTCTATCTATCTATCTATATGTAACAACGCTAACCCTGACCTTCTTCTTTTCCTGTTGTTATAAATAATGATTAGATCGTTTTTTT